CAAAATGTAGCTAAAATCTAAACTTAAATGTTCGTAGGCCTAGTATAGGACATATATGTACTATATTAGGCCTCAGCGTGAATTATCTCTAGGATGGTTAGGTTAGATTTTTATTAGGAACATAAATGCATAACCCTTTTCGGTTTGTCCAATTTCACAAGTACCAAATTCTACTTTCCAATTGTCCATTACGTCAATGTGTGAACGACGGTCAACAAGCTTACCAGTAATACGATCTAAGCAAGAGGACGGGCGGCCAGAAGTGGTCCGCAGAATGGCTGCTAGAATTTAACCCACCAAAGTGATTACACGGGCTCACCATAGCCCGTGCTGCTTGGAACTTTTTGTTCCAGGTAGCGAATCTTAAAAACAACAACCAAAGTTAGACGTTATGAAGATTAAGAAAGTCTAGCAAGTCTTACTCTAGTATAAGAACTAGAGTAAGATACTCTAGTTCCTATACTGGTGAATCCTTTGTAGCCTTTAGAAACTTAAATCTAGGTACCTTCGGGCCACTAAACACACGTGAGACTCACCCTTGAACATGCAGCTCCAGCGTGAAAATCTCTTACCCGAGAAAAAGTTAAAACTAGAAAAGGGACAAAGATACGCAACAATGCTCCCTACTGAGGTGAAATACTTGAGTTATGAGGCAGGAGTGAGGGCACGCACCCTCGCCACACTGACAGAGGGGAAAAACAAGGGGAGCGACATGATATATTTAATGAACCGTGAGGTGTCCCCCTCTTAAGGCCTATTAGTCACGGATACACTGCCTTAAATCGTGAGGAGACACTCATATATGGGACTAATAGAGCAAGAACTCGGCAGTGTGATGTTATAGTGGCCAGAATACGTCTAAGATATAGACGTATCTGGCAGCTCTCTCAAAACCCGAATGTCGAATACACCATGTGTCAACTTTGTGAAAGTGTCGAGTACACAATGTATCAACTTTGTGAAAGAGAAAACATACATTCCCTTGAACATTATATTCTAGAATGTCCCATACTGACTGACTTTCGCCCTCCTGGGCTTAGGTATACTGAACTCTGTAAATACTATGAATACTGGAACACTTGATGGTATATTGGACTTGTACTTAAGATTAACTGTGTAATGCATCAGATATACAATGTTTGTGGTGTAACTATAACCTGAGCTTGTAACAGCATCTTAATGACCTTTAGTGGTTAAGAGGCTTAATAACACATTAGTTTCTATAGCAGCTATCTTACCCTGACAAAGTAGGAGAGACATAAGTGTTTGTATATATGCACTTGACCACTGAACTTAACCAAGTTGGGTTTGAGTTGTACTTGACCAATCATTGCTGTATGTACGAGAGAAGATTGTTTAAATGTTAAATAAATGTTTAAATGTTTAATATTACATGAACATCGGGGACATCTTCCACCTTCTTCTACAGAACCGTCGGTACAGCACTGATACACATCGTTACCCACAACCTGAGTACTCTCAGTGATGCTACACTGTGTTAACTGTTTTAATAATGTAGAGTGTACACTATCTTGGGTGCATGAACGGACTGCAAAGTATCTTTAAATGGTGGGAGGTACGGGGGGGGAGGGGATGTTCACTAGGGGGCACCCCCCCTCCCCCCACACTGGTGGTGGACCAGAAGGGCCACACTGGCGGCACAGGCGGAGGACGGCTCGAGTCTCCATGAATGGGAATTTCGTATGAAGGGAGATGCAAATTGTTTACTAAAAAGTTACTCCAGTGATCCCACTCTGGCCACCGCCCTCTATGTTATTTCTCGTTATTGTCGTAAATGTTTTCACAAACAGCGGGTTGACCTCGACTGTGGCAATGATTCGAATGGGTTCGAATCCTCGTCACGGCCCTTGTGGATTTGCTCGACTGTGGGTTTGTCCGGTCGTAGACGCCGTCAGCTCCCAGCTGTGATGCGATTGTTGTCCATTTTTGTACCGAGATCAGCGTCGCCGGTTGGGAATAATGCAACCTGTTCATCATATAACTATGACATTGCATTACATCTGTTGGTTAGTCAGCAACACACAAACATGTGTTGCTGTGCGCCTCACGTGTGTCTGACACCTGTCCTTATACTGGGGACCTTCATAACTTTTTATTGCTACGTTAAAATAATATATCAACCTCACCACAATGGCGAATTGAAAACTACAAGTTTATACATCTTGGTAAGCTTCAGTTACTCTCTAAACATAAACTGGTTTTAATTCTGCGGTAATATTTTGCTGTGGGATTAAACTGTGACATGTAAAATGATCTTTGCGAAACTCGGCTTTTATATATTTTAGAATTTTATTTAATTATCATTTTATATCTGCACATTTGATTGACTGAGAGGATTACCAGCTACCATTGTGTGTATCATGGCTTGGTTGAAGAAGTGAGAGGTTGTCGAGTAGTTGATCAGACCACACAGTAGAAGGTGAAGGGACGAGACGTTTCGGTCCATCCTGGACCATTCTCTAGTCGACTCAGCTCAATGGTCCAGGACGGACCGAAACGTCATCGTCCCTTCACCTTCTAGTGTGTGGTCTGGTCAACATTCTTCAGCCACGTTATTGTGACTCATCGCCTTGTCGAGTAGGTTAATATTATGTAGAAATGGGTCGAGGTACTCACTGAAGTCTTGGTAGGTCTTGACCGGCTCCCGTCTTGAAGACGGGAGCCGGTCGGCCGAGCGGACAGCACGCTGAACTTGTGATCCTGTGGTCCTGGGTTCGATCCCAGGCGCCGACGAGAAACATTGGGCAGAGTTTCTTTCACCCTATGCCCCTGTTACCTAGCAGTAAAATAGGTACCTGGGTGTTAGTCAGCTGTCACGGGCTGCTTCCTGGGGGTGGAGGCCTGGTCGAGGACCGGGCCGCGGGGACACTAAAAAGCCCCGAAATCATCTCAAGATAACCTCAAGATAGGTACAGGACTCATGAGTACACGATGAAACACAACTTTTGTGTTGTGTTAATAAATAACTGCAACACAATTATTCTTCTCAAACTTTGCTTTGACCTTTGCTTAAGACAGCTTAAGGAAGACGTCTTGAGGGTACTTGAAGGCTGCCGACTCCTTATCTCAAGCTGTGACACTTTGTTTCCTGAGTCAGAACCTTCAGGTCCTTGAGCTCAGTGAAGTAAAGGTCAAAAACTGTGAGTAGAATAATATCTTTTTTCTATCATTTGAAGATATAAATAATCAGAAAATAACACTTAATACCCAGGAACGAGAAAAAAATATTACACAGTAAATTTCCATTGTTCATAGTAAAATAAGTGATGAGGATTTACACGACAATATTGACCAGACCACACACTAGAAGGTGAAGGGACGACGACGTTTCGGTCGGTCCTGGACCATTCTCAAGTCGATTGTCTCACAATCGACTTGAGAATAGTCCAGGACAGACCGAAACGTCGTCGTCCCTTCACCTTCTAGTGTGTGGTCTGGTCAACATACTTTAGCCATGTTATTGTGACTCATCACCTGCATACACGACAATACGTAACATTCCGCTTGATGGTTAACTCATCCTAACGTTAAGGTTATCCAAAGCTGATTTTCTGTGTTTTCCCGAGACGCATCGACTCTAGTAGTACCCTAAAGTGCGGGTAAGGTTTGAGAGTGGCGGGAGTCCGGTGTACAAGTCCGCGAGGAACCATCCTCCAGTCCTGAACCATCCCTTGTCTGGTGTCACTGGTTAAAAAGCATGGGCGTTAAACCAGCATTGTATTTACAAATGTGTAATGTCAGAGTTTGCGTTTTGCAAACACAAAAGTGGCGTCATGTGTGTTAATTAAGTGTTAATTTGAAGTTTTGGTAATGAGACATTTTGTGTTTGAACCAAATATGTTTATCTTAAATTTGCGATAAAAGTTACTGAGGGAGAAAATGTGGTGCATATATGCATTTTTCCAGCGCTGAAAACCTAATATTTGGATAGGATGCAAGTGGATAGTATCCTGGGATGATGGGGAGCGGTGGGATGGAGAGGTGGTGGGAGGGGACTAATGGTGAGGGGGATGGGGAGACCATGGAACCTACTGTGGTTATATGTAGAAGAATGTAACCAAGAGCACTACTAATATATTAGTTCTCATTCTATTTTATAAGCAGCTGCTCTGTTACTGTCTGTGTGCACATTATCTCCGTCTTTTTTTTTTTAACTAAGACTAAGGTTCATAAGGGCTGTCAAATGACGTGCCTAGTGAAACTGCAAGCAAGAGCTGTTATCGTACCTCAGCTCATCTGAAACCTGCTCCTGGAAACTCATTTATTTCATGAATGTACTTTTGAAACTATCACATAGGGAGCTATCATAAAGCAACAATCATATAAGGAAGAGGCTGAGACCGGAGCCAACTGTGTGCCAGAGCCTTCATGTGGTCAGGTGACCTGATCTCCCGTGTATCAACCTGTTGAGTGAACCAGTTCCTGATGCCAGTCAGCCTCGGAGTGAATGATCGCTGATGGAGTGATGTTCTTGAGAATGGCGCTTCCGTCACGAGGCTCTTGAAAGTTGAGAGTATAGTGTTCCGGGTGGCACCTACTGGTTGTCCACGGAGTTGGGCCAGGTGCGGAGCTTTAAGAATGTTGGCCTTGTGCATAACAGTAAGACCACCACACTACCGTTCACTACCACCACACGCTGCCGAGGAATGGAATGATCAGGAGAAAGCGCCAAGCCATTACCACTATATAGCACTGGGAAGGGATCAGGATAAGGATTTAAGATGCGACGGGGGAAAGGAATGTTGTCCAACCACTTGGACGGTCGGGGATTGAACGCCGACCTGCATGAAGCGAGACCGTTGCTCTACCGTGCAGCCCAAGTGGTTGGGCCACGCTGCCGAGGCGGCTGTGTGGCCGACACAGAGAACACAACACCTTGGCACTGAGAACAAAGGTGTAAGAACCGCAGCAAGAAAGGTGCCAGCGGGAGCCCTTTGGTAATGTGGGCAGGGAACCGTCAGCCCTGTGGGGCGGCGTTGTCACCTTCCTGTGAGGTGACAGTGGTGTGGGGGCGGCGTTGTCACCTTCCTGTGAGGTGACAAGTGGTGTGGGGGCGGCGTTGTCACCTTCCTGTGAGGTGACAGTGGTGTGGGGGCGGCGTTGTCACCTTCCTGTGAGGTGACAAGTGGTGTGGGGGCGGCGTTGTCACCTTCCTGTGAGGTGACAGTGGTGTGGGGCGGCGTTGCCACCTTCCTGTGAGGTGACAAGTGGTGTGGGGGCGGCGTTGTCACCTTCCTGTGAGGTGACAAGTGGTGTGGGGGCGGCGTTGTCACCTTCCTGTGAGGTGACAAGTGTTGTGGGGGCGGCGTTGTCACCTTCCTGTGAGGTGACAAGTGGTGTGGGGGCGGCGTTGTCACCTTCCTGTGAGGTGACAGTGGTGTGGGGGCGGTGTTGTCACCTTCCTGTGAGGTGACAAGTGGTGTGGGGGCGGTGTTGTCACCTTCCTGTGAGGTGACAAGTGGTGTGGGGGCGGCGTTGTCACCTTCCTGTGAGGTGACAAGTGGTGTGGGGGCGGTGTTGTCACCTTCCTGTGAGGTGACAAGTGGTGTGGGGGCGGCGTTGTCACCTTCCTGTGAGGTGACAAGTGGTGTGGGGGCGGCGTTGTCACCTTCCTGTGAGGTGACAAGTGGTGTGGGGGCGGCGTTGTCACCTTCCTGTGAGGTGACAAGTGGTGTGGGGGCAGTGTTGTCACCTTCCTGTGAGGTGACAAGTGGTGTGGGGGCGGCGTTGTCACCTTCCTGTGAGGTGACAAGTGGTGTGGGGGCGGCGTTGTCACCTTCCTGTGAGGTGACAAGTGGTGTGGGGGCGGCGTTGTCACCTTCCTGTGAGGTGACAAGTGGTGTGGGGGCGGCGTTGTCACCTTCCTACCCGGTGAGAGGCCGCACATATTGAGACAGTTTTTGTCTGTGTGTTGACGGCCATCAGCGCCTTCACGGCCCTCCAAGAGTACAGCCTCGCTTCATGCAGGTCGGCGTTCAATCCCCGACCGTCCAAGTGGTTCGGCACCATTCCTTCTTCCCCCCCCTCCCTCGGCCACCACCAGAGGACCTTTGTGATATCTGGTAACTTATATCTTCCAAACTCATTATCCTTCATTTGTCAGCATTAATCAGCATCCATCAATCACTCGTCAATTTTCAAAGTTGAGGCAAGTGATGTCAACACCTCACATGGAGGCACGGGTACACTGGTGCCTCTTAACACCACACATGGAGGCACGGGTACACTGGTGCCTCTCAACACCTCACATGGAGGCACGGGTACACTGGTGCCTCTCAACACCACACATGGAGGCACCGGTACACTGGTGCCTCTCAACACCTCACATGGAGGCACCGGTACACTGGTGCCTCTCAACACCTCACATGGAGGCACCGGTACACTGGTGCCTCTCAACACCTCACATGGAGGCACCTGTACACTGGTGCCTCTCAACACCTCACATGGAGGCACCGGTACACTGGTGCCTCTTAACACCTCACATGGAGGCACCGGTACACTGGTGCCTCTCAACACCTCACATGGAGGCACGGGTACACTGGTGCCTCTTAACACCTCACATGGAGGCACGGGTACACTGGTGCCTCTTAACACCTCACATGGAGGCACGGGTACACTGGTGCCTCTTAACACCTCACATGGAGGCACGGGTACACTGGTGCCTCTTAACACCTCCTTGTAGCAACTCGGACAAAAATTAATAATAATCTCATTGAATTTATGTTTCAAGGACCAAGATTCAGTGGAGCCGTGTTTATATTGGAACTGTCAACACCTCTACTGCTTAGCCCACTCTGCTTCCTGCGGCGGAG